TCCTGTGTTACCCGGGAGAACTCTGCACCCCTCTTCCACCTCCTCCTCACACTCCTGTGTTACCGGGGAGAACTCGGAACCCTCTTCCACCTCCTCCTCACACTCTTGTGTTACCGGGGAGAACTCGGTACCCTCTTCCACCTCCTCCTCACACTCCTGTGTTACCGGGGAGAACTCGGAACCCTCTTCCACCTTCTCCTCACGTTCCTGTTACCCAGGAGAACTCTGTACCCCTCTTCCACCTCCTCCTCACACTCCTGTGTTACCGGGGAGAACTCTGTACCCCTCTTCCACCTTCTCCTCACGTTCCTGTTACCCAGGAGAACTCTGTACCCCTCTTCCACCTCCTCCTCACGCTGCAGGCTCTGATGACGCCGAGGGGTAGGGAACATGGTGTCTCTTTCAGCTGTACCCATACTCATGCAGACAAGCTGTAGAAATGTGAGCCCCACACTCCCTAGTACTTAAAAGGTAGAAATACTTAAAATATCCTTCACATCACTTGTAAGTTCATTCATGCACCCTCCGCTGTCACATCAACTGCAACTCACAGCAACCTGACAGGACAGAGGAGAACTGTGCCGGAGAGTTTCGGAGCCGAAAATCTTTACAGAAGCAGATGGTGGGTTCAAACCACTGACCACCTTTCAATGAGCAGTGAAGCACTTAACCACCATGCTATCAGAGCCCCTTTAAGTCATATTAATATAACAATAATTAATTTAATTAAAGTTGTGTTTTATCTCTAATCAAAGTCCTGATAGCCCTACTTGGTAGATGAAGATGCTCTGAGCTCCGTGTCTATGATCAGAGACATTGCAGGCCAACGGAAGTTCCTGATTGTATACAGGCTAGTGTCCTGTTGACACCTGGAGTGTCTGGAAAAATATTAAATTACACTGACTAGAGTAATTTCCATCGGTTTTCACAGGGCTAAATCTTATCTTGGGCTAGGTATAAAACAGGAACACTTCTGAAAGATACTAACGTAGTTTTATAGTCAATTAAATATTTTCATGGTTCACTGTAGCTTCACTCTTAATCACCATAAAACACTCCCAGTGATGTGGGCTCATCCTGACTTCCTTCCAGCACGGCTGTCTCGTGGCTGTGAGCCCCGGCTCCCCAGCTCCTTAGCCAGAAAAAGGGCTGCCTGGCGAGCTTCATTCAGTTTTCACAAGGGACAGAAACATCAACTTCTTACACTTGTCTTTCCAATTAACATGAGTCGTAAAACAAAAACCTCTATCTAATTCAGAGGAACATAGTTTGACAAGTTTTTTAAAAGACTTAATATTCCTTAACTTTTTCTTTCAACAGGTTAGTTGACGTGCTAAGTTCTTTTGAAACGGCAATTATTACTTAAGACTTTTAGTAAATGGTCCACTCCAACTTCATGAACCCTGATACAAGAGGCAGTAAAGACAAATGAATCAGAGTTAATTCTATCAGGAAAAATTAAAACAAAAATGCAACTAGATTAAGAGGCAGAAAAACATGAAACTAATATTGGAACAAAATACTGAGACGTAAAAGTCACTAATACTAATACCATTAATAATAAGAATAGCTAATGAGAGCTGTCACTATTGTTAAGTGCTGGCAAGTCGGTTCCGACTCATAGCGACCCGGTAGAGGGCTTCTGAGGCGTGGTTGGTGACTTTGAACCACAGACTCGGAAGTTCCAACTGACCCTGTGGTTGAGTGCTAGTCCTACAGCGCCACACCAGGACGCCAGTGACAGCTAGTATTTATGAACTATTCCAAACACAAGGCACTGTTCTATGCACCTCAACTTGTTTTGACTTATTTCCCACAAAGCTCTGGAAATTTTTTTAACTTTTTATTTTTATTGTGAAGAGTTAATATTTTTAGTACTACATTATACAGATGTCGTTGTTGTTGTGTGCCATCGAGTTGGTTCCAACCCATAGTGACCCTGTATAGTGTTTCTGAGGAGCAACTGGTGAACTTGAACCGACGACTTTGTAGTTCAAATGACTTTGCAGTTCAGCGCATTAACCCAGAGCACCAGGGAAACAGAAATACTGGAAGGTTTTATATCTGGCTTAAAGATCATATTGTCCCTAGTGGGCAGAGCCAGGACTCTAAGCAGATCAGTCCTTCCTCACCACGCCCCTTACTCTTCCCACAGACATCTGAAGCGAGTGGAGTCCATTCTCAATGGGACATGTTCCTTCTATAAGCTCAACAGCACCACTCTGTTCTGTGTCTACATTTTGATTTTCAACTTAGCGAGTGTTCGGCAACGCCAAGCGGACTGATGGAAGCGCAGTGCTAGATGCCTGAACGACACCTTACCTGAGGTTATGAAAGGCAACAGCTAAGGCTGCAGTCACAGTGATGGCCAGAACAAACAGGTAAGCATAGAAGAGTAGTGTATCTGAAAGCCTTTCAAACGTATTGAGAGGCAGAAGACCAAAAGCTTCTTCACACAGATAAAGATTTGCATCAAAATCTCTAGGGAATAAATGGAGAGCAGAGTATTAAATTCAAAACAAAGCAAGTCAATGCTATTATATTTTCCCTCAAAATCAGCTTGCAGTGAAGTTGAAGGAACAATGATGAATAAATTCTAAAAACTCTGCTGATTTAATATAGAATAGCAAATACAGGTTGTCAAATCAGTCATACCTTGTTGCTCCAAACCCAAATTTTGCCTTCAGAAACTTAAATATGTGTTCATCTGACTTCAGATTAAGGTTTTTCTATTGGGGAGGAAAAGGAAGAAAAGTTGTTATCAGTCCCTTAGGAATGGTTTCTTGGTAATTTCCGCTGGAAAAGAACAAAACTTAGTAAATGCTCATGATAGTTTTTATAACTGAGAGTGTTAAAAGCAGGAACACTCTAACTTCCATTCTTCCCTTTTCCATTCTCCAACCAATTAAAAATAAAAAAAAGCAGAATCCTTGTTTCATCCAAACTTTTCTATGTAAGTTCAACATGTAAACTTTGGTTTTGCTTTTGGGGACAGGGAAAAGGCTGAAGCACAGGCAGTGTAATTTTTTTTTCCCCGGAAAGCCAACAGCCCACAAGGATGTCTGGTGTGGCGCAGTAGGATCAGCACTGGACTGTGAATCACAAAGTTGACAGTTCAAATCCAGCAGCTGCTCCTTGGAAACCCTACACAGAGTTGCTGTAGTCGGACCCGACTCGTAGCACTTAATAACAGCAGCAGCTCACAGGCTCGTTTAACTTCGAGGTTCAGCATCTGCAGACATTACTGATGTGATCCCTTCACCCTAAGATAGTTCAAGACATAGCGGTGGTCCTCAAGAAGTGAATAGAAAAATGCAGCTATCTATTATTATTAGTGATTAAGATTTTTTTTTTTCTAGTCAAAGCCAAAAAACACTTTAATACATATGATTATGTCTGTGTACAAGTTGTGTTCTAATCAGTGAGAAAAAGTGAATAATTTAGCAAAAATATTAGGAAGACTAAGTAGCTACATTGGGAAAATATCTCAAAGGGTTAAAGGTAAGTGATTAAGATTTTGATTAATAGAATTTTATTTGAAATTTTCTATGGCTTAGAAAAATCCATACAACATGAACAAGTGAAGAAACTGAAATCAGTAGAAAAATGAAGATTAAAAAACAGTAAGATGAAGTCAGAACTGAAGTTAGTACAAAAAAACTGTTCATTAGAGGCGAGCCACAATGAGGTATAAAGCATTCTCTCACTCACAGGGCAATGAGATTAACAGAAACACCAGCTAAGAAAAGATCTTAACAGTCACAGAACTGAGACTCAAGGGACAGTTCTCCCATGGGTATAACGGAAACAGCAGTGAGCTTCATGGGGTTTATCTTCCAACTCCTCTCATTGTAGGTCACTGGCAGATCACTAAGCACAACTCAACAGAAGTTACTCTTGGGGAAGCAAAAACCCAGTAGACCTGGCTCTCTTCCACAAACACTGATTGTTCAGTTCAAGTACTGAGCTGCATGCAGTTAAGGGGTATGGACAAGGACCTGGGTGGCAGTTTTAAATGTGACTGGTCACGGGAAGATTCCTTTTCTTGGACCGTCAGCAGGCAGGAAGTGAGACTACCATCTCCTTATGAAGGGGAAGAAGCCTGCCACGCACATGTGTCTGCTGTCCTGAAACCACTTCCTATCAAGTCAATTCCAACACACAGCTAACCTATACAGGGCTTCCAAGGCTGGTGTGTTTGAAATGCTAACCTTGCAGTTAGCAGCCCAATGCCTTACCCACAGCACAACCGGAACTCCCTTCATTAACTTTCTAAACCCAACGCATCAAATCCACTGCCGCTGAGTCCATTTCTGAGATCGAAGCTTTACAGAAGCAGACAGCCTCACCTTTCTCCCATGGAATGACCTTGTAGTTAGCAGTCCAGAGTTATTCTACAGCCCTTTCTGGAGTAGCAAATCATTTCAAGAAATCACCAGAGTTCTGCTCTAGCATAAAAACATATGGGGGAAAAATGTCCTAGAGCTATACCCTTGGCCAAGTAAAACCTATTCTCAAAACATTATTAGTCTGAGCAGTGACGCCAGAGATGATGTGGAGAGATGCATTGGCTGGGGACTTTAGATCCAGAGAGGGAGAGGGGCTGTGTGCTGACGACCGGGGGGCAGGCTTGCAGGGTATACCCTTTGATTGGTTGATGATGCATGGAGGGGATTGTAACCATGGCAATGAAACGATATACGATAGGATGTATGTAAAGCTAAAGCTAATGTTCTCCCAGGTAAACTATCACATAATTCACAATAAAACATTTTAAAAAGACCCCAAAACATTATTAGGCTGAAAAAGTATTAAAAAGCATGCTCAACCATGGTCAACTGGTAAACACAGTTCACAAAGGCAACATTCTACTTTGATGAGTAGTGACTGGGATCTTAAAAGCGCATGAGTAGCCATTTAAGGCGCAAACTACTGGTCTCTCCATGTGGGAAAGAAAGAAGAGTGATGAAAACTGAAGATGCTTGGAGTCAACTGGTTCAATGGACCAATGGGGCAGGTAAATGTCAGTCACTATGACTCCGAAATTAGAAGAACTAGATGGTGGTATCCAGCTATCACTACCAACTGCTCTGAAAAGGATCACATTA